GCAGCTGAAGAAAGGAAGTCAGAAGAGTTAATGAGACCAGAACTGATGATTGCATCAGAACTTCACACTGCCTTTTGGCCCAACAGGGAAGGGATTTAAAATGAAGAGGAAGCTGCTATCAGCATTTCCCCTCTTAAATCAGGGCAGTGCTGGTAGGCTCTCCTGCAGACACATGGTCTATGTCAGAATATTAAAGATTCAAGAATTACCACACCTGCAGGGGTGGGGAGCACAGCACTGGGTCCCCACAGCTCCTACCATTCTTTAAGGCTTTGCCCAGCCAATTATGGTTTTTCCAGAGAAGATAATCCTAACTAACCCATAGCCGAGAAGGGTGGTGAGCATTTGGTGCCCAGGCACTAACTGCTCGCCAGCAGCATTTCTGCTTATGCAGGTTTTCCAGCTGCCTTACAAAAACCAGCAGATCAGGCACATTTTTGTTGTCATTTATTTTATTGCCCTCCTCCAGCTTAGTTCTGGGATCTTACCTTCTGCAGCCTTTTCAAGCACTCGGAAATGTAGAGAGTTATGTAGATCAAGGTTCTGTCGGCCTCATTCTACAAAATAAAAAGCAAGTGCAAGCCACCATTAGACCAGGGGAGGACTTTACAATTGCCAGGAGTGAGACTAACATGCTCAGTCCCCAGTCTCTCACAGAGATGCACTGACAGGACTCCTGAGGAGTTTCCTCACCTGACTTCTTTTAGAAAGGAAAACAATTGTTTCTTTGCATTTTTACCATACAGAAAAAGATATAAACTCTCAAGGTAGTCAAGCGTGCTGCAAGGAAGCAGTTCTATGTTTAAGTCAAGTCCCAGCCTCCACAAATGTGCACAATACCTTAAAGGTACATTTCTTACCTTAATTTCATAATTTTTGAAAAAGACATTTGCTTTGAAGTAGTAGATTGCTTCATCAATAATATCTGTGTCCTTTGCTAACAAGAAAGAGAGAGAAAGTTAACAAAGATGCAGGTGTACAGGACAGGCCGAGATGCACAGTAAAAATTCCATTCTCTCTTTTCACTAGTCTGTAGAAAAATAAAATTCTTATGAAAAATGATGCTACAGATAATTTATCCCAGTTCTCAGCAAAGATTTGATAGCAGAGGTAGTGCTGTGGTCATGCCCCATATGACTAATCTGCCTTTATTTGCACAAAGGAGCACAAGCTACAGCCACTCACCATTTGAACAGTGACGAGTTCAAGCTTTGTACTTGCCCAAGTAAAACAAGCAACTTTGTTTGGTCTGTTTTTGCTGTGATTGCTCAGTAATTCCCAATGGGTCTTTCAGTCGTTAGCGAGAAACAACAAGAAGTCTACTATCATTACAAGAGGATGTTGGTTATAGCTATCATTATAATGCCCTCTGAGATCAGGTCTAGGGGAGATGGGGCAGAAAAAGACTAATTTAAAATTCACCAGGAGAAACATAATTCTTCACCTCATTTAAAAAAGAGAGAGATAACAAGCAATCTCATAACGTTAGGATCCAGCAGGCTTTGGGTTTCACCAGTTGATGCAAACCATCTAGATCTAGATGTTGGTCCCTTGCAGGATTGAAGTGTTATAATGCTGTGAAGCAGTTGTGGAAAACAGAGGCAAGATAATGAAACAGCATTAAAACAAGCACTAAATAAAGCCTTCCTTGTGGTTTTCGAACCATTTCATCTAGACACCATCACTTCCGGGTTCTCAGTTCTACTTTGAAGGAAGTTACAACTACAGGGCCTGCCTCTCCCATTTCTCACTGTACAGAGCAGCAGAGGGACTCTTCAGCATTGCTGCTTTTTAAGCTGAGACTATGCTAAATTTTCGCCCTCTTAATCTAAGCTGCATTTCTCTAACATGACACATTCCACTCATCAGCTACCTAGTAAATACCACACCTGAGATGCCACAGCAAAACTTCTCCTCCTGCACGACACAGCAAACTCAGCTTGAAATGAATGAGAGGCTTAAAATAAATTTTAAAAAAGCAAAGCAATTAGAGAACCAAGAGCTGGATCTCCTTGGAGACTGTAAGCTTTGGGTCTTTGAAGGCATGAAGAGAGAAGACAAACCAAAACGGTTTGAGCATTTAAAAGACAGAGGAAGTCACCGCATTCGCTATTAATGTAGACTGAGAGGCCCTACTCAGTCAGGGCAACCACAAAGTTTGTTTCTACCACATTATTCATGCTGCCTGTGCAGCACACCTTGTTCCTTGCTGTCTACATCTACTGCAAGATCCTGGGACTGGAATCTGCATTTAAGCAGTGCCTGGCAAAAATGGGGCTCATCTCAGCTGGTCCCTAGACCCAAGCGACATTCTCCCCCTCACACCCTGATGCTACTCATGGTATAAAAAATACGCAGTTGTGGCCCCTGTCCCAGGGAGCTGGAAGACCCCAATCCAGCAACTGATCGGTGGAGGCAGAACCGTGTGCCTATCCAGACCTGTTAAACACAGACGGGATTTCACATGGATCTGCCCACACAGATCTAATTACAGCAGGAGAGCCCTGCCATCACCAGACACACAGACAGCCTGACAGAAGCCAGGCTGGAGCCAGAAGATTTTGACCTGTAATTCCTAGAGGCAAGAAGTGGGCTGGAACGAAGACAGAGGGAAAGGAAGCAGCCACTCATGGGGAAAGAAACAACCCATGACTGCAGGGGGGGTTTGTAGAAGAGTTAGAGCAAGGGGACGATACAGGGAGACAATGCTCAAGCCAACAGCTAGATGTGAACAGGAGCTGAAAAGGAGAAGTCAGACGAGCTAGCTCACCACTCGGAAGAGGACTCTGCCAGGCTGGAGCGGGGGTCACTTTCCCCCCACGGAACGACACCTGACAAGTCCGGCCTGATAGTTTCGAAGCAGACTGGATCATCACCAAGACACTAGCCCACATTCACATGTAGGAGAGCCATTCGCATATATGTTGGTCATCGGCACGTTTTCACTCCTGTTGTCCGGACACAGGATGCACCGAACCCAGGCATTAAAAACTCATCTCAGTTTGCAAATCAGTGGTCTGCTCCCTCAGCAGCTCCCGGCATTTATGAGGTTTCGTGCTGGCTTATGAGGTGCCTTGAAGGAGGCTACCAAGAGCAGTACCCATAAATGACGCGAATCTCCATTATCTCTTTTGGTTCGTAAGCAGCCTGGAAAGGCTTTGCCTGGCGGTTCCCCAGGCCACTGAGCTTTTCCAGAGCCCTCAACCAGCCCCACCTCCGACAACAGGCTCGCTTTAAACGGACGCTGCACCTGCACGCAAAACAGCAGAGCAAGAGAGAGAGCAAGGGGATGCCACCACAGCAGTGGAGCGAGAGTCTAGCAGCACGGGGAGAGAAGACAACCGGTTTCTAGCTGCCTCTTGGGAGGCGCAAGCCCGGCTGCTCCCCGAAAACCCGCGCTGCCAACCCGAGCAGGCTGGGCACCTACTTTCCCGGGGCGCTGGTCCCTTGAACTGGCTGCGGATGGGCAGCAGGGCCATGTTGCCCACCAGTTTGGTGTCCGGGTCCATCAGCGTGGAGTGGTAGGCCTGCGGAGAGAGGCAGAAGCCGCGTGTGGAGGCGGGAGAGCCCGAGCCCACCGAGGGTGGGGGCGCCCGGGGCTCTCTCCGCCCCCCTCCCCGGACTTACCGGCATGGCGCGGACGCGGCGCTCAGAAGCAGGAAGTGCCGCGCCTGGAGGGCAGCCGCTTCCGGCCCCGCCCCGGAAGGGCGGGCCCAAGCCCCGCCCCGTAGGCGGAGCCCGCTCAGGAGTGCTGGACCCGGCGCGTGGGTGAGAACAGCGAAGCCCTGGGGAGGTTGAGCAGGAAGGAGACGAGCAGGGCTCCTGGCTTTCCACAGCCACAGAGACGAGCCTGATGTGGAAGATGAAGGCTCTCTCTACATCTAGAAATATATTTTAATACTAATTATACATATAAAAAAAAGCCTGGGTGAGACCAGGAAGCAGACGGGCTGTTAGCCTGGACGAAAGGAGAGCGCTCTGGACTGGCGTGCTGCACCTGGGATGCATCCACGTGGAAACAGTGCTTTAGTTTGTATTTCTAAACAGCACCACGCCCAGAAGGCAGCCCCAGGTCTGGTGCCTGCACCTCCAACAGGAGGCAGAAGAAAATATTCATCAATGAGGAGATTTAACTTCTTCACATTCCTGCCAGAAAGGAAACTAAGGGTTGCCCACTGTGTCAGAATCTATCCTGGGAAATTTTCAGCACACTAAAGTGCCCGCGACATGGATCTGCCCATGTCCTTGCATTTACGGTGCATAGACTTTATATCGGGAAGGCAAATGCATATTTATATTACATTTAAAAAAAATTGGACTGCTGTATAATTCAAATTCAACATTTACTGTTTATTTTAATGAATGCCGTATCATTCATCTCCTGGCTGACTCTCAGCAGTTTGTCTCCTGGAGATTTATATCTAATTCCTGGAGACTCCAGGGCAATCCTGCAGGGTTGGCAACCCTAGGAAGAACTAGAGAAGGACAAGGATAATGAGCAGAAATGGAGGGGCTTCCCTTGAGGCCAGGCCTGCTCCACTTAGAAAAGAGGCCTGAGGGGGGACAGAAGGGCTTACGAACTACCACATGGAGAAGAGGAAGTGAATAGGGATATATCAGACTCCATCACCAGACAAGACAGGCAGGTCACAACATGAAACGAGGTGGAAGTCGGTTTAAAATAAACACACAGATGTTCTTTTTTACACAGCATGGAATTGAAATGTGGAGCTCATGGTCACCAGATGTGGATGGTGATAGCCTAGCTAGATTCAAGAAGGAACTGGACACATGCTTCAAAGGAAGGAGTACTGGCACTGTTGCACACGGCAGTGAGGGGCACGGCTTCTAAGCAGAACTTTCTGGGTCTTTAGTGCTGGAGATTGCGAGAGAGAGGAACAGAGGAAAAAACCTGGGTCAGACCCAGTTCAGTCTCTCTTCCAGCACCCGCTCTCTGCCCCTGCGTAACACAGGAGACTGGGCAAGACGGTCCTATGGTCTGACCTATCATTGGCAGCTCTTATGTATTTAAGCATCAATGTTAATATTCCATGCTTGTGGAAACACCATCCATCACGACATTGTGCAGTAGGCACCAGTATGGAAGAGGCGACTCAAGAATGATCCTACAGAAGTTGGAGAGGCTTGATGGGTGCAGTGGCCGGGGCATACAGGAAAGATGCACAGCCCATTTCTATGCACTATAAAACTCTTAAGTCACTTTTATCCTGAACAGTCACTGAGTCCAGGCCACAGGGATAAAGTCTGTTGCATACTTCCATCTTTGCAGGATAAGGCCCTGAGATCTTATTTCTGTGCAAAGGCTCTGGAGGTTCTATTACACAAAGTTAATACAAAACACCAACAACTTAACAATTTTTATAGGGAAAATGATATGCTATAGTTTACCTTATTGGCTACTGAATTCCGGTCTACAAAGCACACCGTCCGCAGCTGGGATGATTAAATTATTTGAACAACACAGTTTACCTTTTGGCAAATAAACTGCTTTATGCTGATTCTTCCCTCTATCATTTCAACTGTTAGTGGAAAGTTACTTTAAGCAGCACGTTATTGGAGGGTGAGGGAAAGGTTGCCCAAAAGTGTTGGCATTACATACAGCTAAATTTAGCAGCTCCTATTCAAGTAGGATCCACATTGAGATCCATAGTCCTCTAAGGATTAGTCAGATCTTTAATGCATGAGAAAACATGTTAGAAGGACCGCTATATACATAGAATAGGTCACAGGCTGGATTAAGCAATTTAAAAGTGACTTATAAAGGGCCCCTGTACGGATTTTAAACAAACACCAACTGCTACTCTATTTCTCATCCCCTGTTAAGATGTGCCCCTGGAAGTCTAAAAATAAGGGTGAAATGCTGGTCCACCAAGCTTCCCAGCACAACTTCCATTATGAACACCCACTGTCCTTCCTTAGCAGCTGTCCTATCCAGTTCTTTCCCTCCTCTCCCTAATGCACCTGACATTGGCTTAGCTGATTCTATCTAGCTCCTCATATATACAGAATCAAACATGCAATTCTAGCCTTCTTCCTACAACCTCTCTTAGTGAAGTGCAGTGCTCTGAGATGCTATAAAGCAGGGGTGCCCAACCTGCAGCATGTACCACAAGTGGCATGGGAGTCACTGTCTGTGGCATGCAACAGATCAGGGAGGAAGCAGGGAACACAGTGGCCAATGGGGCAGGGAGCAGAAAGCAGAGCAACAGGTCAGACAAAGGAAAGGGATTGGGGCGGTATTCAGGGAGGATGCAGGGCTCACTTTTTGGCAGATGCGTCACAAAGGTTGGTCCCCACCCACACAAAAGATGATCAACACGAATCTGAGGTGACTGCATTATTCACAAGTGGGAGAGCCACAAATGAGTTATGCAAGTCTTTCCAAACAAGCATCCTTGTCTTTCACCTGCTGGTCTTTACACAGTGCATGGTGCCCAGCTGTACAAAGGGTTTGAAGACAGGGGGAAAACCTGACTGTGATCTAGCAATCAGTGATGTGATCTGAAGCTCTAATGTTACACCCCAAGTAAAAAGTGTGAAGCCTAAATAACGTAATAGTATCCCTAAAAACATACCAGACAAGACTTATAACTGTGTTAAAATGTGCAGAAAACTGAAATCTGAACAGTTGTAGTCTTACAAAACAGGTAGTTAAAAGGAGAAATAGCTATCACTATTTTTCCTGTACAAACTATATATTGTACACAACAGTATCATTATTCAAGGAATGAAATTTAGAACACCCCAAAAAAGTCTTTTTGCACATTTACATATTTTACAGAATGCTACGGTTTCCTGCAGGAAACACTGCTCGCAACTTTCGGAACAGCTCCATAAGTTTAAAGTGTCAAGTCAACTTTTTAAGCCAGATTTCTCTTGCAGAAAACTTGCCATTAACTAAGGAATTTCAGAACATCTGGAGGATAGAGGAACACTGTCAAGCTGCCTAAATCTAAAATGTAGATTGTTTAAAAAAATAAAACTGGTGATGAATTAATAATATTCCACGGACCCAACTGGCACCTGGTATAACCAGGGACAGCAGTGTTGACTTCAACAGAGTTGCATCTATTCATGCAAGATAGATTAATCACCAGACTCCTATTAGCCTCAATATTTTCATGATGTTTATTAAAAAATGTTATTGGTGAATTAAACGCTTCCCTAAACCGCAACTCAACAGCATTCAACTGATTTACGACAAGCCAAAGACTGAGAGAGACAACTCCAGTTGAAGTTGTCTAAATGTAGTAAAATACAAGCACTGAACCAAAGGCAGAAATGGTTAAACCAATTATATTTTTCATCCCTTGGTACAAGTAATTAGTTGGCTTGACAGAAGCTATTAAAAAAAGTCTATGGTTTTTATTTTGACAGTGCTCCTCTACAACCACTATACTTTTCAAGCAATTCAATATTCTGTAAGAATGCTATTTATGCCAAAATATGTACACACAAAAATGAAAACTACTTATTGATGTAATGATGCGGAAGATACAGGATTAATTTCCAGCAGATTTACAAAAGTTTTCCATCACATATTTATATATTTAAAAAAATAGTCTTACAAATATATTCTGAGATATATTTTTAACTTATATTTTACAACCAGGCTATTCAACTCCTCTTTTCAAATGCACTCTCTCTACTCGTCCACTTGATCTTGAAAATATTCATCAACAAGAGCAGATTTAACTTCTTCACAATCCTGCCAGAAAGGAAACACAGAAATTAACATTTGGTTCCATTTCCCTCTGTCGCTGCAGTAAATCCTCTGTTCCATGACATTTTTCCTGCAGTAGGAAAGAATCTGCTACCACAGTTCCACACCCCCACATTACAAGGAACGCTGAAAAGCAATTTGGTTTCAACAGTCAACCTAGAAACACCTTGGTGCTAGTTACCATGGATCCAAACCTAAATTCAGGGATTCTATGTATTCAAAGAGTGCCGAGCAAATGGGTTTTTTTGAGTGGAATAAGGCGGTAGGAAGTATTTGTTCTGAATAACAATGCAACTAGATATGGCTCTGGGCTGAGTCTAAGACACATGCCTTACTGTGTTTCGTACCTGGTTCTTCTTATTCAACATCTCAGACAGAATTTGATGGACTTGTGGCAGAAATGATTGTGTAAGGTTGTTTGACCAGAGTCATGCAGGCAATCAGGAACAATGGCCACAACCTGATGGAGAGCAGATTTAGGTTGGACATCAGGAAGAACTTCTTTATAGTAAGGGTTGCCAGAATCTGGAATGGCTTCCAAGGGAGGTGGTGCTCTCCCCTACCCTGGTGGTCTTTAAGAGGAGGCTAAACATGCACCTGGCCAGGGTCATCTAACCCCAGAGCTCTTTTTTTCCTGTCCAGGATGGGGGGGTCGGGGTGGGGGGGTCAGACAGACACGATGATCTCCTGAGGTCCCTTCTGACCCAAACGTCTATGAATCAAACTACATGAACCTAATAGCCTCTTCCCTCTTCTGGCTTAAACATTATTCTGTGAACTTTCAAGCCCAGTAAAACGCAGTTTTCAGACCTGCCGAACAGTGTCAAAAAGAGAGTATTTTGTATTTATACCTACAAGTGTTCTAGAGACCAAATGTCACGGTTAAGCGACTACATTCATCCCTACCCAGTGCTGAAAAATACTGGCCAACTTTTCCTCTATTTCCTCACCCCTTCTTGCCACCATCAGGAACCAGGTTTTAAAATAACACCAATGCCTTTTAAATTCATATAAGACGGCATTTTTTTAAATTTCAGATCTTAAGAAACAGATGTCCTTTACCTTTGGCTCTTTGAATTCTAGATCTTCCCCATACTGAATAGTAAAGTCTATGTGCTGCAGCACTATATTTATGCTTTCCTCATCAGAGCGGTCATAAGGTAAGAATCGGACCATGCTGTAGTCATCAATCTAGAGGAAGGATTTCAAAAGTGTGGTTAGTAGAGGATGTGATGAATCAATTATTCCCTTAACACTCAGACCAGTCAAGAACAACCAAATGTTATTTGATCCACACGCACCTCTCTTAGGTGGGGATGCTAACACAACAACCTTACTGGGCATGGAAACAAGATTCAAAGCCACATAGCACATCAGTGGCAGATTCAAGGTGAAAATTCAGGAGCTCCTGGGCTGCCAGCCTTCTTTTCCATCTACCATACCATACTGCTTCTCAGAATTGTTTAAGAAATGAGAATCCCTGACACAACCATATTCACATTGACTTGGTTACCACATACAGGATGGAAACTCTGGGGCTGAATGGAAAATTCAACTTGCTATTTTTATTCAAGGATTTGAGAATCCTCTAGAGCCCAGCAATACTAATACATCTGATGTGTTAATATATCATTTTAGAGAAAGACCAAGACAGACATTCTGAATACTGTAAATTATCTGCAGGGAGACAAGGGGTTGTATAACATGGGTTATAATATTCAGCCCTTCACTATTGAAGAAGTCCATTTGTCCCAGTTAGGACTAAGAGAGGTCCTTGCGCTTACCAATCCACATATGGCTGTAGTCAGTTTCTTGAACATTTTGCTTTTTAGTATATTTGTGGAATCTTCAATCATAGGATACATATCTGGATCCAAGTACCTGAAACAAGTACTGACATTAACAATAATATCTGCCAAGGACTCCAAATAATTTGAGGTTCTTTCAAAAAACTGCCACCACTGTTTGTTTTGGAAATGTTAATGACATTAATTTTAGCAAGAAAACTTACCTGCCACCATTATTTTAAAAAAGAAAAGAAAATATTTTCTCACACACACACACACACAATTAGTTTAGATTATGATTTCTGAGAAAAGACTGATGATTGTTTTCCCATTTCCTCCTTTTTCATAGCTTAGATTATGATTTTATATACTTTTGTAGAGAACTGGGAGAGAAATCTCGCTCTCATGATCTTAGCTTAAAAATGATCATTGGCATATAAACCTAAGGACCGTACTGTCAGCAGTATCAAAATAGCACAGAAGAACGACCTCTAGCTTTGCTTTGAACAAGGGGAGCTCAATTCAGAATGATCTTACTGTTTGCCAAGGCAGTTCTCTATAGAACAATACATGCATGTATATACCAAAATTTAAATCTCAGAATATCATGAGACTGTTTTACAGTGTCACAGCCATTTAAATGTGAGGTTCAGTCTAAAATACCTACTCCCCGCACACCATCCCAGGAAGGTAGGTTTTAATTGCATGATGACATTGTCTCAAGACATAAAAACAGAGGAGAAAATTCTCAGAACTTACTTTTCAATTTCTTTCTTAGCTTTCTTGCTTAGCAAATCCATTTTGGTCATGATGTTGACTTGCGGAATCTCCAACGATATCATTGCACTGAGGGCTGCCAGGACACCAGAGATAAACTTAAAAGAAAAAATGAAGAATGCCTCTTTTAGAGACAGACCAACTTAAATTTAGCATGCAGCAATAACTGAGAGGTTTGGAAAGCACCAAGCAAGCACTGTAGTATCTTGTTCTCACATTTAACTAATAACCTACAGACTTAAAACACAGAAGGCATCTATTAGCCAGAATGAAGACATCTGCATGTCAAAGTCCCACATGTAAAATGACTACAATTTGCTCCTCAGAATATCCTACAAGATTTGTTTCTTCTTTTCGTTCATTTTGCCTACACCCATTTTCCTTCCTCCCTTTTTTGGTGTTGCATTTTAACCTCCTTCCCCATAACTGCTTTCCTTTCTAATCTTTTCCTACATACCCAGGCTGACATACATACATGCAGGAAACTGTAGTGGACAGGCAATAAACTATCATATGAAACACAGCAGGGGAAACAGCATCCAGGCATAAAGCCCAGTAAGATGAGTGTCTTTACTGGGAGAGGGAGGCATCTCCCAAGACCATCCAACATTAATCAGCCTCTAATGGGAGCCTAATACATCTGAAGTTCTCTGTACAAAGCTCTCTCTCTCTCTGGACTTTTTGAGCACTAATTTTCTTCAGGTTACAGAAGGAAAGTGACTGACTTAAGGCCACATGGCGAGTCAGTTTGAGATGTGGGACTAGCACCAACCCCCCTGAAAGACAGTTCCCACACACCTGCTCTAACTCCAAGGCCACACACAATATTCCAGTCACAGGACATTAACAAAAGCAGAAACGCACAGTTTTTTTCTGACTGAAGAGATTTCAGATTGCTTTGCAACACGACAAGTCATTCCCTCAGATTTCATGTTTATTATTATTACAATAAGGCTTTTTTTCCCCCAATGTTTACTATAGATTTGAAGCCAATACCTTAAATGATTCCACCATAAACTGGGAATCAACAAGAAAAACTCCACAGACACGGAATTCCCACTGCTGCAGCTGCTCCACCAGCTGTTTCATCACTGGCAAGTGAGTATAGAGTTCAATCTGACCTAGGACACACAGTAATTAAAATGCAGGAATGTAAATGTAATGTAGAGGCACAGCAAGGACAAAAACACATGTCAAGAATTACATATCACATAAGCAAAATGTTAGCTTACCTGGGCAGTCAAAGAGTATATAGTCATCCTCCACGTGTCCAAGGGATTCCTCCAGCCAGTCAAAGTTATTGGCAAAATATTCCATGCAAAACACTAACCCTCCATTTGGACCAAACCTTAGAGAGTCGTCTTCCATAACATCATCCACTTCGATCAGCTCTCGGATATCTGGAACAAGAGCTATGTGTCAAGGCTTTCTGTTTGCTTATTACACTAAATGCATAAATTCCAAGGTAAGTTACTACAACACATGTAATTCTTAAAATGAACTCCAAATCTCATTGTTTTTAAAAAACTGTATTAAAAATAGTTTGGGACACTATAACTACACTCCTCCCTCAGTCACCCTACATATGTTTCTGATTTTAAAACACCACTTTTTTTCCCCCCCCCCCCAAATGCTTACTTC